TTATTATATAATTAATGTAATAAAAAATATATTAACATTATTAATTTATAAAATTAATTGTTTTGTATAAAAATAATTTATTTAAATAATTAAAAGAAGAAAAATAAAATTAGAGGGAAGTGGGTGGCCCACGTGGCTTTCAAATTGACTTGCAAATTTTGCAAGGTTTTTCCTACTTGGCAACCCATACTCTGACAAAAGTTGATTTGCAATTGTGTTTGCAAGCCCCATGTGGGTGGCCTTATAGTTCTAAAAACAATAGTTATATATCTATAATCTATATTTTTATCTATATAAAAGCAATAACCATGGATAATCAGGTAACAACTTCTAAGCATTATAAATAATTTTTTCCTCACATTATTATTTGCATCCCACATTGGATTAAAGAAGAAAGAGGCATGTGAGAGGGGATGCAAAAAGAAAATGACCAACTTTTTTCTCAAGATTGTTTGCATCCCACATAGGATGATGGAGTGAAAGTGGCAATAGGTAGATTACTACAAAAAGAAATGACTAAAAATGGAATAAACATATTTTTCTCGGATGTCGACCTTTTGCTTAAGATCAAATGTAGTATATGTTTTTAGTTTCACATATATATCCCGAATCTTAGGTTTTTTTTTTGTTCAGATCAAGTATATTATATGTTCTTAATTTGATATCTAATATATGGGTTTTCAGTTTGTTTGGTATTTTATTTTTTATATGAGAATGCCAATTATACTACTTGGTGATTTAATTATTTATCTGTCTTCTTGGTGTTACTACTATCAAGGTTTGACACATCTCTCTAATTACAATTCAAATATTATAGAATGTTACGATAAAGTGTAGTATTTGTTTTTATCATCTTTTAATATATGATATATGGGTCATCGACCCCACTTGATATTAATTTTATTCTTTTATGAGGAAAAATCTATTATCTTAGCTTGGTGATGTGGTTCTTTACGCATCGCCTTGAACTTCCAATACTGTTGCTACAGCTTACGCACTCCTCTAATTTTCACTTGAAATATTAGAGAACGTTTCTTTTTCATAACTTCAAATTAGATTTCAATTAAATTTGTTAGAAAATTAACATCATGATTTTGTCATCTTATATGAGATTTCAGTTAGAACTGTGATTTCTAATTAAACAAACTACTAACATTAGTCAAACATTTGTAGAGTACTTTGTAAACACCGTTCTCGAGCATAGTTAAATATCTTAAATTAGCATATGGTTATAAGATTGTTGTCAACCTCTCTTAAAAACTTTTAATGTAAATGAGTAGTTGTCACACACATTTGCCTAATGTTTTTAGAAATGGACTTCAAATTTTAGTCTATAACCAGGGCCGTCTCAATCTTTTCGGAGGTCCTGTTACACTATTATAAAAAATATAAGTAGATTGAGCGACAAAACGAACAAAAGTTAAATACAATAGTTCATATTATATTTAAAGTCTTACAAATAAAAACAACAAGACAAAGTAACAATGTAACATGTAAACTTCACTTGAATAAAATCATTCTTTTAACATTCTTGGAAACAAAATCTTCAATAAGCTCTTCATAATCAACTTTCTCCAAAAAGTCATTTTCAAGTGCTATYATTGCAAGTCCGTTAAGCCTTTCTTGTGTCATTGTAGAGCGCATATAAGACTTCAACAACTTCAACTTTGAAAAAACTTCTTTCTGCAGATGCAACGGTTACAGGAAATAGTCAACAAAACTCTATAAGTAATAATCGCATTAGGGAAGCATTCAACATGTTTCAAATACTTTAAAATATCAAGAGGTCCCATCTTTTGTGTGGGTAAAAGATCTTGATGTATCGTCAGTTTAACATATAAGTCATTCCCATCTATATCAGATTGGTCTTGTTCAGTGCATTTTCAAAATTAGTACAATAAGACTTTAAACATGTATCATCCAAAGAACGAACTTATCAGATGTAAACAAAAACCCAAACACACTTTCATATTCTTAGTATTGTTCGAATCTCCTACTTAGTGAAGCAATTGCATGATCAACGACACAAAAGAAATAATTAACTCTAAATGACTCCTCCGTTGATTGTGAATTCATTTCAGATGCATCACACGGATTTTCAGCAAAAAAAATTTTCTTCGAATTTCACGTCTTTGAGGAAACAACAGATCAATATCCAATTCAGTGGCAATCATTTTTGCTGATTCTATAGCATCTAAAAATCCTGTTTCTCTATATCCCTTAAAATAAGAAATCAGTCCTTTAACTTGATCAATAGCAACATCAATTAACATATTTTCTTACTATAAATGTTTACTAATCAAATTTATGACATACAATATTTCATACCAAACCGCCATTGGCACTATAAACTCAAAATCACCAAGCTCATTGTGAGCTAAAGATTTTGATTCACTTCTAATTTTTGAGTCATTATCTATTTCAGCCACTTGAAGTAAAGCTTCTTTTATCTCTAACACTTGAAATCTTATAGCCTTTACACTATCAATACGACTCTCCCAGTGAGTCGTTGACAATGACTTGACAGTCCATCATTTTACATTATCTTTAAACACTTTCCATCTTTTAGTGGAATTAGCAAATATTGTATAAATACGTTGAATTATTCCAAAAAAATATCTAGCTTTACCACAAGTATTGGCTATATCACACAAAGTTAAATTAAGACTATGAGAAGCACAAGAAGTATAAAATGCTCTAGGATTTATATCTAGTAGTTTCCTTTGTACTCCTTGATGTTTTTCCTTCATGTTTGAACCATTGTCATAAACTTGTCCTCGCACATCATCTAAATCCAAACCAAGAGATTTTAATTCAGCTACTAGAACATCAAACAAACCTTGGCCCGTGGTATTATCTACTTCCAAAAATCCTAGAAAAGATTTCTTAATGCTAACAATTTTAGAAGAGACATCTACATACCTTAATATCAAGGACATTTGTTCTTGATGACTTATATCGGGAGTGCAATCAAGGATAACAGAAAAATACTTTGCCTCTTTTACTTTATTAATAATTTCACTTTTAAGTCTCCTGGAAAGCAAAGTTATCAACTCATTTTGAATTCTAGGACCAAGATAATGAACATGTAAGTCATCATTTGTAATACGTTGAACATGATCTTGAATAATTGGGCCAAATTCAGCCAACATCTGAATCAAGCCCAAAAAGTTACCATTGCTATTCTCATACAATTTTGCTTTACTTCCATGAAATGCAATATTATGTTTTGCAAGAAATTTTACAATAGAAACAACTCTTACCAAAACTTTTTTCCAATAATTTTTTTCTTTTTCTATTTGGGTTTGAACAACTTTGTCAATGGTTTGATTCTTTTGAAGTCTTAGCCGCAAATCATACCAAGTTTTCATATTCATTACATGATCTATACATGTTTCATGCTCCTTAAGTCTAGTGCTAAGGTGTGACCAATCCCCAAATCCATCATTTGTTAACTGACCTTTTATGTCTTTTTTTTAAAGATTTTACAACAAACACAAAATACCTTATCAAGCTCTACTGAATATACAAGCCAATCTCTATCACATTTCTCTACATTTGATAAAATTCTAGTATACCATGTGGCAGGAAAGCGTTTAGACAATTTACCTTTAGGACTGTTCTGAACAGACAAATCTCTTTTAGGACCCTTGTGATAACCAGATCCGGGTTATCACTTAAGGTAATTAATACGTGATCATTTATTATGTGCTTATATGACAGCATGATAAATTTGGTACATTTGATCATGCTAATATGAAAGTTCTGTGCATTAATGTATGTATATACTATGAAAATGTATATATATATATATGCATGATATATGTTCATGGTATGTGTGTTATGTGAATACATGCAGAAGATTTGTATGCATATGAGTATGCATGATTGTGGACCATACATAAATATGTATGCATGGGTTCTATATGTAAGGATGTGCATGCATAAATGGTGGAATATAGTTTAAAATTAAACTTTCTGCCGCCTTCCATTTCTGGAAGGGTATATATATGTGAGGTGTGGCTTTAAACTCTTCTTCTTGACATTTTGAAAATCTAAGAGAGTATTGAGAGAACTAGCTTGTCTGGATTGCTTGCCTTAATCGGAATTGAAGTTGGGTTCAATTTTGTCTCTAAATATTTTATAAGGTGAGTGGTTAAATGTTTACAAAACACATTAAATTGTATGTTTATATTGAGTTTTAAAATGTTTATTTGGCAATTGATAATTTTGGCCGGATTGGGTTAAATCGGATGTGTCATTCGGACAAAGTATTAAACCCGACAAGTGTTGAGCGGCTTAAGGTTAAACCGGACAAAGGGTTGGGCGGTTTGGTCTTAAATCTGACACTTGTTGACCGGTTTAGTTTAAATCGCACATAGTGTTGTACGATATAAAGAGTTGATGAGATTTGAACTTTATAAATCGCTTAAAAACATTGATTAGAGAAGTATGAATACGATTAAAGATGACTGGTTTATTTGTAAATCAGACAAGTTTGGAACAGTGTTGTCCAGATTGGTAATTCGGACAAAGTGTTGAGAATTACTCCAAGTATTAAATCGGACACAATATGAAGTGTTGTCTGGATTTGTAATCCGGACAAGGTCTTGACCGGATTATGTGTTGACTTACCATTTTGTTGATTTATTTAACAAGAAATGGGAATTTTGATAAATATGATTTTACACTGATAATATTCCATTGACTGCGGTCTATTCTACATGGAATTGTTTTGTAAAATGTTTTAATGGGGAAATAAGGGTGACATATCAAGGAGAGGTGTATCATGGGATAAGGGTGACATATCAAGGAGAGGTGTACCATGGGATAAGAGTGACATATCAAGTAGATGAAACTTGATTAGTACAAGAATTGTATTTTGAATTTTTGGACTATGTATTCTGAAATGGTAGATTCTTGTACTAGGGACCTATGTGGTGTACAATCATGTATTTCTTGTGTATGAAGTATATGTTACATGCAATGTGTGGAATGTGGTGTTACAACCCTTAGCAACTAACACATCAATCATTTTAGAATCTAATGCATCCCAATTTCTTGGATCAAATACATCAAAATGAACAAAAACATCATCAACATTAGTAGCATCATCACCATCAGTAGCATCAGGAACATCATTAGAAGCATTATTAGCATTAACATCAGAAACATCATTAGAAGCATTATTAGCAATAACATCAGGAACATCATTAGAAGTATTATTATTAGTATCAACATTTGTAGCCAAATCCTCATGAGAGTCATTTAGAGTGCCAACTAAATTCACCATGTTAGGATTTTCATTAGCATCAACACAAGCATCATCCAAATTAATATCAATATGTTCATTGTCAAGAGAAGACAAACCTTCTTTTATGACAAATTTATCAAGAGATCCCTTTTGAGATTGAATTATCTCTTCATTTTTTTTTTACGTTTTTGGCATCCAGAATCATATTTTCTAACCCTAGAAGACATATTGGAACTGAAATAAGTAAAAGAAAAAAGATAAGGAATAAAACAACCTGAGTGAGGATGATAGTACTACTGCTGGCTATTGATGCTTGGTCCTCCCAAGTCCCAAAAGGTTTTGATTGCACTACAAGAGATAAACACATGTAGATATTAACATATCATCAGAAATAAGAAATAAGAATTTGATCATTTGAACCTAATTCCTAAACAATCTGAAGACTAAAGTTTGGACAATTTGAACCAAACCTAAACAAATAAGAAGATGAACCTAAACAAGTGAACAAGTGAACAAGTTTTCAGTTTTTTTTACAATTGTGATTCTGAACATTGAACAAGCAATAAAACGCTAAATGGCTAAATATAAATTGAAGAAAAGAGAAAATGGGAACCTATTAACCTAAATCTTATGGACAAAGAGCTGAATTTGTGTATACAGAGAACTGAATACAGACATAAATCAATAAATCATAATCAATTACTCATAGAGTTCTGTGTATTGTGTATACATACAAAGAACTTAGGAGG